GCGCCTATCATCTCCTCCCTATTGAAATTTGGACCGCCCTCGGTCCTCCACGTGATGCGAGAAGCGCGATGGTCGTGAACGGGTCGAAGCGGCTTGACAACCCGCGTCGGTTTCGAACGCCACGTGGCCGGCGCTAAACGCTGGTCGGAACGGGGTTATAAGCAGGGTAGACTTAGCCTCATTTTCCCCATCCCATCGTTCCTTCGTCGCTACCTCGTCGCCCTCTCTCGTATACTCGCTGCTTCTACGATGTCTGCTCGTTCCGCCACCCCTGCCTCGACGCCTTCGCTCGTCAACCGCCGCCTCGCCGCGCTGCTCGTGGTTCTCGAGGCTCCGCCGACCGCCGATGCCGCGCTCGACGTGGTCGAAGAGTGGGCACAGGATTTGTCGCCGCTCGTCGTAAGTCGCTTCGTAATCTGCATAACCCAACTAACCGTTTGTTTTCGAACAGCTCGCCTATCGCAAGGCCTTGGGCGCGATCCGCGACGAGGAGACGGAGTTGCGCGTCGCCGCCGCCGTCAAGCAGCTCGCCGGGCGGGCATCGGAATCGTGGGTCGAGTGGGCGCGCGGGGACTGGCCCGAGCTCGCGATCGCCATCGACGCCGAGGTCGAACGACGCGTCGAAGAGCAGAAGCGCCTCGCCGAAGAGGAAGCACGACGCATCGAAGAGGCCGCGAAGCGTGCGAAGGCCGCCGAAGAACGTCGCCTCGAAGACGAACGGCGTCGGAAGGAGGAAGAGGAATTGCGCCTTGAAGACGAACGTCGCGCGCAAGAGGCCGCCGATGAGGAGTTGGCGCGGATCGCGGCCGCCGAAGGCCTTCTCTCTGACCCCGCGCCTGCCGGTGTCGACAAGGGGAAGGGGCGCGCGAGGGTCGACGAGGAGGTCACCGAGTTGTCGGACGACCCTTCGATCGTAAGAGTTTCTCTTCTACCGTCCTTCGATTACTAATCTTTCTTTCGTAGAAGACTCCTCGGACGGTCGAACGCCCGTTCGTGATGACGGAGGTCGACATGGCCGCCGTTGCGCTTGAGAAGCGCCAGTCGGGACAGAAGGTAAGCTCGACTCTTCGTCGAAGCGGTTCGATACTAACTCTTCGATAGTGTGATCGTTGCGCCGGCTACCGCTCGGCCCCTGTCGAGTGCGTGTGGGTCGAGAACGCCACGACCTGCGAGAGGTGCGCGCAGTTCCAGCAGGGCTGTTACTTCGACAAGGTGTCCGTCCTGGGCAAGACGAAGAAAACGCGCGGCGGGGGTTCGACCACGAAAAAGCGCAGTAAGTCGTTTCTTCTTCTTGTCCTAGGCTTTCGCTGACGACTTGGTAGTTCGGCCGGCCTCTCCTGGGCCTTCGATCGCGGACTCGAGTGGTTCGAAGAAGCGCCGAGTCGACGAGCCTCCGCGCCCCCTTCTACGACGGCCTCTCGATGGGGCCAGCCGCCTGGGCCTTGAACAGGACGACCTCGACGCGCTCGACCTCGACGACGAATCTCGGGGAATTATTCGCGTCATCCGCGAGGAGCGCGCTCACATCGCGCGCCGTCGAGCGCTCCTACACGACATGGACCTCGACCTTCAAAAGATGGAGAAGGCCGCGCTCGCGAAGGGGGGGATCGGGTTCGTGCGCGGGGCTGTCGACGATGAGTAGGCGATGGCGCGGGTCGTCTTGTATCGTAGTTGTATTCATGTCGTAGAACATTGCGTAGATGGTCGAATGGAAAATGCGGCCCTTGGCCTAGACGAAACCTAGCGGGAACTAAGAGAAATAGGAAATGCAAATAAGTGTGTTCGAAGGCAGTCGTAATATGGTCGAAGGACATAGAAGGTGAAATAGAAATGTTCGTAGCGAGGGAAAATGGACTTAATGAAAATATAGGCTCAGTTTGTCATCACAGCCTAGGAGGACTCGTCTAAGGCGAGCCTCCGCGCAACGGTCGAATCGAAGCGTTCGTAGAACGTCGAACGATGTCGCGACTATCGAGTTGAATCGAAGATATTCGTACAAGGGATGATCTAGAACGTAGGAGAAAATCAAACATATGCGTAACGTGAGAGCAGGAA